TCTAAAATTGTTTAGTGAGCTCATGTTGCTGATATGAAATTTAGTTATCATTCATAGGTTTTGGACAAAAGTCACATTTCCCATGGCTCTTGGCCACCATTTTCATTTGTGCAGCTTATTTTTTTTCTATGTGAAGATGCTTTCAACGATGTCATGCAGCACAGCCTATATCAATTTGCTTTTCTTTAACTAATAAAACAGACACAGAGTTAAGATAGTTTATCAACTCAAAGATAGTTCTTTTGTCTCTTTCACAGCTTCTTAATTAATATCAACTAATGCAATTAGATTGTTATGCAATAAAAAAGACATATTTGTTTGTGTATGTTTAAAATTACTTGTGCAGATACTATATTAACAGTATAGATACAGAAATCAAACAGGAGGTAGGAAGATCTAAAGGAAATGAAAAAAATGAAATATTTCTTTATTGTAACTTAAGAAAGTAAATGCACATTGCTGTGTAGATTTTGGAGGTACAAGTTTGATAGTTAGCTTGAGAATGGATATGAAATGAGTTGAATACTTCATAACAAGAGAGTTCTAGTCATTTAATACCAAATAAAGGAACAGTCATCTCTACTTCACTACCATTTCTTGTAGCTCTTCTTCTTAGATATTACACTGTATTCTAGCAATTAATCTAGTCCTCAATTTCACATTTATTATAATGCATTTCTCACAGAATCTAAGCGCTTTAACATTTGAAATCCACTTAACTTGCAACTTGTTCAGCTCTTATATGTGCTTGTGTTCTTTGAATTTTCTAAATAAAAATAAATGCTCCAACAAAGTAAGTAAAATACTTATTTCAAGGATATTATTCACAAGTTTCATTTAGGAACATATTTTAAGAAAAATAGTGTTACATAACAATTATTTCCATTTTTCTAGCCTGAATATACTAAAATGTTTCCCTTACTTTGTTTTTTCTTTCCTTCCAGTAAACATAAGAACAAATTTATATTCTAATAGCTTAACGTAATATGTCTGATTCTTGTATTAAAAAATAACCCAGGATTTCATTAAATAACACAATATATTTTACTTTAGCCTTCTGATTTTATGACATGTTCTAAACAATCAATATTCCGTAAAGATTAATACATACCTTTATATATATTTTCCAAATGGTATTCTGAAAAATCCTATAAAATGTGATACATTTCCCTTGAAAAATAATAATATGTGTTTGTGAAACACTGGGTTAGTAAAAGTTCAATAGTTTACTTTACACAAGACTTCTCCCAAATTTATTATTGTTATTCTGTGATGGGAATTCCCAAGAGAATAATAATCTGCCGTACTGCATACTTATTTTCACACCAAAACTTGTCTGGGGTTGAGGGAGAAGAAGCAATTAACATACTTTAAACACAGTTTTTAAAATGCTGGCTGAAGGCAAGAAATCAGGTTAATTGATAATAAAAAAGAATAAAAAAATTAAAAGACCTCTAAGCACATAAATAAAACAATGAAAATAATGTCATATAATATTATGTCACAAAAAAGATGTAATCAGATATCATTAGACTGGGGAAAAAAGAATATGTTGAGGGAAACGTAATAACTTAAAATATTTTAAAACTTGCCATATGACAAAGGGACAAAACGTAAGCCAGGAAACCCCCAAATGGAGAGTGGAACATATAGGTGAAATTTACAAGGAGTCGTATTTTAGCTCTGGTTAAGGAAGAATTTTCTAATAGTTGTTCAGAGTTGCCAGCCATGGCAGCAACTCTTCTTGAGGTAGAGTTACCCATCTCTTCAACTGTTCAAACAGAGAATGAGTGATGCCTTTAGAGGAAGGATATAACAAGGATTCCTAATCTGAAAGCAAAAGCATTTTGAAATGTGACATTTTCAACTCAAAGAATTCCCTCCTTTCCTTCCTTCCTTCCTTCTCTTCTTCCTTTCTTCTTTTTGTCTTTTTTTCTTTTACTTATTTCAAGTACATTGAGTGCCAGAAATATACCGGACTATACTACACAAAGGGCATATAATAGTTTTCACAGTTTATACTACAGAGATGAAATACAAATTAACTAAATAATCACCAAAAACATGATATTATTTGTGATGCATGTTATTAACAGAGAGCTGTATGATGCAAAGAAATTAATAATAGTTATTTTATAGAAGGATTCCCTAAAGAAATAAAGATTACAAAAACACACAAAGGATTAAAAATATTTACCAACACAAGGTGGAAGGAAAGAATATTCCAGGCAGAATTTAAACACTGTGTGGTTCCTAGGAATAATTTAGAAATCACCAGAGTTTTAAATCAACAGGGATTATGTTCATTGAGGATTAATGTCATGTAGTGTTAAAGAATATTAAAGAACTAAAGCTAAATCTGAGCTTTACCACTTACTAGTTATGTGGTCCCACGCAGACTCTTTAAATTCTCCGTGCCTCAGTGTCCTCTCATTTGTCAAATGGGGACAAGTAATTGCACCTACTTTATGGTGAGGATTAAATGGGTTAAAATATGTCAAGTGCATTCATCATGTCACCTGTCAGTACTGTCATTAATTTTTATTGTTGTGTGTATGTGTGTGTGTTTCTTCTTGGCATGATGAGTAAAATAGTTTGCTTGAAACCAAGACTGTATATGAAGAGACCAGTTAGGATATTAGTTTTACAGTACAAGTTAGAAATAAAAAAGGTAGTTTGGAGTATAAAGACATTGAAGGTTATGTGGTGGTGGAAATAGAGATGTAGACAAATATAGAGTGTTAGGAAGTACAACTTTCAAGATTTGGTGGTGGATTGTATAGACGGGAGTGAGAGCAAGGAGGATGCTAAGGTTTCTGGCTTGCACAATAGAATACATGGCTGCACGTTTTCTAAGAGAGGTAGGTTTACCGAAGATCATTAGTTTGTTTTTAGAAATAATTTGAAATTACCTCGATTCATTCAAGAGATGTCAGGTAAGTGGTTGAATGAAGTCTGGAGTTAAAAGGAGAGGTCTGGATGGATATGTAAATATGTAGGTGAAAGTTTCTAGATTATGTTAATCTACCGAATAATTTTGGAATAATTCTGCATTTAAATATTCCTACTCCCATGAGGTAATACTGGTCAGGGACAAGGGACAGATCAGGAGAACACAGGCACTATTCCAAGTATTGACAAATGAAGCAGTGAGGGATGAAATAAGCTTTCTAAACTCAATTCTTTTGGGTTTTTTTGGACATGTATACAAAGTTATCATAGGTCCTCTAAAGTTTTCAAATAATATGATGTTTTTCTTGATGTATACAAAGTGACTATTATAAAAAAAAATCAAAAGTAATAAACAGTAGATAAGCTCAAAACATTTTTTAAATCATAGGCTGTTCATAAATGTTTAACTTCTCATTTTATGGACCTTACTAAAACACAAAACAAATCGGAATAATATAATCTAAAATTTCCATGTAAATATTATTAAGTTAATTCACAGACAAGAAAAAAAGGCACAGATCAAAGAAAAGGGTGCACACAATAATAGAATGAGCAATTAATTTGCAAATAATAATGATCAAAAAAATAAAGATAGACATGTGGTGGTAAGAACCCTGTGACAGAGTTCTTTAATTTCCCCAAATCCTCTTAAAAGAAAACAGCTGACATGGTTGAATAAGATTACCAGATGACATCTTTAATAGAATTAGTATCAAAAAATCCAATGAACCCTAAAAAATAATTGAGCATAAATGTGTGTGAGTGTGTTTAAAACATAGGGGGGGACCAAGATTAATAAAAAAATCCAATGAACCCTAAAAAATAATTGAGCATAAATGTGTGTGAGTGTGTTTAAAACATAGGGGGGGGACCCCAAATTGTTCCTATTCTCGCTCATTCAATACAACACTTCACCTCTGGTTACCAAAATGAGTGGTGATTCCTCCTCACCAACAATCAATTCTCCTGTGAACACAAGCTGGATGTCCTATAATTCAATTCAATTTTGACACTATCTACCTGGAGATAGTGTCAGGTCCCACAAATTAAATGCTTAGTGCCTCAAGACTGCTCCACACTTCAGATGCCAATCCCTAGTAGCAGATTGCTGCCTACACCTCTGACCAACTAGCTATAAATTGGAATTCCCAAGTCTCCCTCCTCAGGTTCCATTAATTTTTTAGAATGACTCACATGCTTAGAGAGACACCTTATTTACATTTGCCAGTTTATTATAAAAGATGTTACCAAGGACACAGATGAACAGTCAGATGGAAGAGATCCAGAGAGCAAAATATATGGAAATGGGCACTGAGCTTCCATGCCCTCTCCAGATGTGCCACTCTCTAGGCACCTCCATGTGTTCAGCAAAGTGCAAGCTCTCTGAACTCTGTCCTTTAGGGGTTTTTTTATGGAGGCTCCATTATATAGGCATGATTGATTATACCATTAGTCATTGGTGGTCAACTTAACCTTCACCCATCTTTCCTCCTTGGATGTTGGGGGGTGGGGATGAACGTTCTAACCTTCTGATCACAAAGTTGGCTACCACGCCCCATCCTAAGTCTATCCAGGAGTTTCCTTATTAGAACAAAATATGTTCCTATCACCAAGGAAATTCCAAGGGATTTAGGAACTCTGTATTAGATGATTCTCTCATTCACGGTATTAGAAAAGTCTTAGTAACTCTGTTTGACTCTCTTTGGAGTCAAAGATCAAATATTAGAACAAATGATTTTCTTCATACCCCATCTGCAAGGGTTTTAAGAGGGTCAGGAATTGGACACAGAGACCAATACATAAATATTTCTTACCCTAATAGGGATGTTTGATAGATGGATAGATAGATCGATAGAGATATTTAATATTTAATGTGCTCTAAGAACCGTGCATTGGCTGGAAGGAGTGTAGAGTTTACTGGTTAAGGTTAGCATTGTATGGCATATAGGAAGGATTCATTATTTTTTCAAAGTTAACAACAATGTATAACCAGAGAACGTATAACTGAAAAACTAATATAAGGGGAAAAAAATAGAGTAACAGAGTATTTATGGAATCCACACACACACACACACACACACACACACACACACACACACACAAAAGAACAGAATTTTTTTAATAAAAGTCAAGTAGAAAGCATAAAATAAAATAATACATTTGAACCACATATATTGGCAATTACATGGTACAGTGATTAACAGTGTCTGCCCTGGAAAGAAAAGATCAAATTTCGAATTCAGCCTGTGCCATTTTCTAACTCTTTGATCTTTGCCAAATGTCTTAACATTTCTAAGCACTGGATTCTCATCTGTAAAACGGGGAATGATGTTATCAATCTTACATAGCTGCTTTGAGGATTCAGAGAGAGAACAGATGTGCAGCTTTTACCACCTGACACATCACAAGTGCCCAATAAATGATAAGTTGAAATTTTATAATTAGTAGGGACTCTGATACACATAATTACATGGATTTTCTTCACCAAACCATACACTTCACAAAGAGCTGAGAAAAATGAATGGTTGCACTGATGCAAGTTAAAGGTTTTAAGTTTTGGCACAATGGAAGGGTAACAGTCAAGTGAAGTTGAGGATGATAAAATAGGGCTAGTGAACCATGGGGTTGAAGTTGAATAATGAAAGAAATAAAATCAGGAAAGGACAGATAATTAGGAGAAAAAGACTGAAGTCTTCAGGAGATGAAGTATAGGTATGAGGGGAATTGGAGTACACTTGAGCAGGAAGAAAAAGAGTGAGCTGAGCCTGGAAGATTATAGCATTAAATACCTTATGTGGCCCCATGTTGAGGAATAAGAATATTTTAATTGTGGTCATGGAAAGAA